AGCAATGTATTAATACTATAAAACATCATTTTTAAAAAGTTGTTAAAGCTAGATTAGAATTAAATTAGGTATACTTTGTGAACACTTTTTTATATAGCAAGTCCGAAAATTGCAACATGCAATTACGAAAGACTTGTGTAACAACGTCTTCTCAGACACGTTGAATATTTGGAATACATGATAATAGCATACTATTTCTTACCTGTTTAGTCTAGGATGTTCTACATTACAACACACAACAAAATTTCTTCTTTATCACGAAAAGTAGAAATAATAAAACTTGTGTAAGTTAGCGAGCAGTTACTATTTCTTAGCTACGTAATTAAAGTCTTAAATTTTGTTTTAAATATTGCTAGCACGTAATTTGTTAATAATATTTGCAATAATACTGCCTGATTTTCAAAAATGTGTTGCTAAGAATATACAATCAGTTTAACTTTGCTTTTTTTTAATAGTACAAAACACGTTCAAATTATTACACAATTCCGTCTAATCTTAACAAAGAGCCGCTAGAAGGTGCTTTCTTTTTATTAGTTTAATTCAAATTCCTTGAACTTAGTCACGTAAACAACTTTACGTCAGTTTTAATTAAAGCATAAATTTCAAAAGTTTATTTGTTTTTTTAAATTAACTTATGGAAACAACTTAAATTGCTGAAAAAAAAACGAGTTATACACGAAGACAACAGACACAAATATTCTTCTAAAATATATGTCGGCGCTAACAACTAAGTGAAGTAATTATCGAATTACAATATTTTTATTTGTCTAATGATAATCTTAAAAAGTTTGCACTCTTGAACATGATGATCATGTGAAGAAATATTCATAGTTAACACGTAAACAACAAATAGGAAAAATTGAATGTGTGTGTGTGTGTATATATATATATGTGTGTGTGTGTGTAAAACAGAGGCAAGCTGCTAAACAACATTAGCGCCTTTAAAATATCGCCACTGGCGAATTAGAATTTCAAATATCTAAACAGAACTTTTATTAAATTTCCAGCAGATCAAACAATCTTGTTATGAAAATACTCGATACGTGTTTTTATGGCTTAATTTTTTTTTGAACCAATATTATTTCTAACTTATGTAGTATGTAATTAATCAATATAATTATATTCAGACTTTATATCTTAAATAGTAAATGAAAGACCTAATACATTTTTTTTCAATTTTTTTAAATTCTAATTCCCTTTTCTTTTTTCTGGATCTGAGCGTTCTTCGTAAGATTGCTAGGATATAGCCTACTTAAAAAATATCGAAATTAATGAGAGAGAATCCAAAACATTTTATAAAAGACAAAGTACTAAATTTGGCGTTTGAAGTTGCAAAAAGCGACCCAATATATATATATATATATGCACATATAAAATATTAGACAATTTTCCTACAGTAAACACACCACGAGTATGCTATAGATAGTCCATTAGTTAACCGTGACAGCTGTTTTAAAACGAAGACTTGTTCAGTCCTAAACAATTAACTTCGAAGAATTCCTGTCACATTTAAAAATTAATGAAAAACTAATATGACATCTAAATTCGCCTAGACAGAACACATTTATCATTCTGTCACAAAGTTACTCCCAGGAAGCAAGAAATGAAACTGAAACACTTCTTGAGAATCAAGTGACGTCTGTGTATCTTTTGTCATTCCTAAAAATAAAAAATAACAAAGGGATTACAACAAAGACTAAACTCTGTTAATGTCGAGGGATCACGCTATATTACCCTCCTGCGTGTATCGAGATACCTAACTCTGAAGGTATAATGAATTCAAGCATTTTTTCCTCAAAGTAGAAAAAAAACAAAAACAAACTATTTTGCGCGTAGGAAACAATACACTTCAGAAATACTATTCTAATCTATAGAGAATGCTGTAATAAGCATAATAGCTTCTTTTCTTTCTCTGTCCTTTTAAGGACAATAAAAAAACGCCATTTCATCCTGTATCTTCGTTAAAGAATGAGATCGTTTAATTAAAGTAATTTTGAAACTTTCTTTTGGCTATAATGGTGGTGAAAACTTAATTTAATATTTTTTAGTTTATCCCGGTTCTTGTCAATTTAAGTTAAAAAAAACTACAATTTAACCAAAATGAGTTAGTAACACATACCTGACGTTTACATATCCCCTCGAGAACTGAAGTTTACACGAATTAAGATATAAAAATTGAATTATTCTTCAATGATTAATTTTCTTTTGTAAAGTCCAAATTTTTGATGTGTATTAGCCACAAAGGTTATTTTTGAATGATATTAAAATGAATGCGTTAATGTTCCTTTTTTTCTTTTCTGGACAAAACTTGATTTGTTATCTATTACAATGCGATTTAGAAACTTACAAATAAACAAAGAATGTAAAAGTTGGAGGATGTGCTATTCTTATTAAAGAAATTTTCGGGACCGTAAAATATTTTAATAAGGACTAAAGGAATATAAAATGTAAATAACATTTCCATTCTGATTAATGATACCATAATCTTTCAAACTATAGAGATCAAAGTGAAAGGTCGCTCCTGAAGAAGTAAAAATGATAAGTTGAATAAAATAGAATATTTCAATAAACTATAGAATCACATTTATTTTATGGAAGTGATCTAATAGTTTTCTTTGTTGGTAATAGATCCCACTATATCTGTACTATGATGATAATACTGTTTCAGTATATAATCACTATCGTTTGGATAATTCAACTATTCATTCACTAGTAGTAACAAAATTTCACTAGCACGACTCCAGTTCCAATGATTTGTTTATTTTACTTATATGACCAAAGTTCAATCATTAGTTAAACTAAAATCTAACTAGCACCATTACAGTTTCAAGAATACAACCTTTGTTTCTCTAGTAAAATTATTGTTTCAATAGTACTATAACAATAGTTTTACCAGAACAACGACAGCTTAATTAATTGAACTATAGTTCTACCAGTACAACAACGGCTTAATTACCAAACTTTAGTTTAACTAGTTTAACTATAACTTCATTAGTGGAAGTATAGTTTAAATATTATTTTTATAGCTCCACTAGTAGATATATTTTTTCCCACTAGCACATATATTATTCGGGCCCGGCATGGCCAGGTGGTTAGGGCGCTTGACACGTAATCTTAGGGTCGCGGGTTCGAATCCCCGTCCCACAAAAAACATGCTCGACCTTTCAGCCCTTGGGCGTTATAATGTGACGATCAATTCGTTGGTAAAAGAGTAGCCCAAGAGTTGACGGTGGGTGGTGATGACTAGCTGCCTTTAGCTGTCTTACACTGCTAAGTTAGGGACGGCTAGCGCAGATAGCCGTCGTGTAGCTTTGCGCGAAATTCAAACAAACAAACATATATTATTCACAATCATATGTTTTTTCCACCGATAGTAACACAATTTACGTAGTACAATTTGTTTTACCAGTTTAGCAGTTTTGTAATTAGCATAAATATTGTGATTAGTACAACACTGTTTAATAAGTAGAACTAATATTTAGTTAGTATAATTACTATTTCGCTATTACAGCAATTCGCTGATTAAACTCTTTTTTTTCAATTTTACATCTATTGCTTACAATTTGTGATTTTTTCCTCTAACATGTGTAACTTTAGTGAGGAAAAGAAAAAAACCACGAATGAAGTAAATTAAAGAATGAGACTTAATATATTTTTTCTTTCGCTGATCCTTCTGCAGTAGACTAGTTTGACCGAATCCACGGCTCATCAATACTGCTTTTAGTAGTGATGAATGACTAAACTACTTTATGTCAAATCATAGCTTCACTTGTTACAACTATTGTTTCACCAGTATATTAGTATTTCAGTACTACTTTTAGTAGTGATAACTAAAGTACTTTATATCAAATCATAGCTTCACTTGTTACAACTATTGTTTCACCAGTATATTAATGTTTCAGTACTACTTTTAGTAGTGATAACTAAAGTACTTTATATCAAATCATAGCTTCACTTGTTACAACTATTGTTTCACCAATATATTAGTGTTTCAGTACTACTTTTAGTAGTGATAACTAAAGTGTAAAATTATTATCCTATGTTATTGGAAAATCATAAAGTATTTGTATTTCGATTTCATAATTTTTTCAAACTTCAGTTACTTGACTCCACTAATTTTTTTTCGGCGTGCGCCCTTGTAACTTACCATAGATTATCAAATGGTTCTACTATAGTACTAACACAATGTATTTGACTATTATTTTCAAGCATTTGTGCAAGTTTGTCAAAATATTACACTACCGATCTTAAAACATTAAGTATATGGAGAAACTGGTGAATAAAAACACAATCTGTTAGAAATATTTTGTCTTATTGGTCATCTATAATAATGAAATTATAGCTGCACTGGTAGAACAATAGCTGTTCGAATGAAATTATAAATGCACTGGAAAGCAACATTGTAGTACTGAGGGAAAATGCTATACTAGTAAAACACTAATATATTGGTGAAACAATAGTTTTAACAAGTGAAGCTATGATTTGATATAAAGTATTTGCTAAGTAAGAACCTATAACAACAACTCTTCTGTAACTAATAGATAACTAGCTTAAATGGAATGCTTCTGCATGTTTCTAGAATGAGACGATGTTTCGGTTTTTACCTAAGACATTCTTCAGTTCTTTCAACAGGTAAGAACTGTCAATTGAATCCATATTTATACAATGTTTACACTGTCTAAAATTCTCTTCAAACAACACATTCTTCAAATAAACTCTCATAATAAAAACAGTAATTAAAAAGTATAATTTATGAAAAAAACTCATTTTTAATTATGCAAGCTAATTCTTGAATTAGTATAATGATTTTGTACTGAGCGAGCTTCAATTAAGTTATAATTTATGCTCGCTGAGCTTCTATAATAATACTCATTATAACTTACCATGGGCGCCCGCATGAAGGGGCAAGGGGGTCACTTTACCCCCTGGATATTAAAAAAAAATACTAGCGATAAATGTTATGAATAAAGTGAAAGGAACTCCATTGTGTTATATTTCAGATGAATCCAAACAAGCCTTGAAAGAAAGGAAAAAGTAAGTATTTTTCTTGTCAGACTATAACCACACTATCTTATCCTCAATAATCATTTAGATATATTGAAAGCCACACTGCACATAGGTACTATAAATGCTGGATAGCGAGGGAGTTAGTTGAAAATTATTATAGTGTACTTAACCATCAAGCTTTTGTTGGACTTTGTGAGATAAATCAAGTTATGGCTTTTAATATAAACTCATTATCGAATACACAATTTCGTCATCTACACAGCTATAGTACTGATATTATTACTCAGTTTTGCTAAATTTCCAAGGTATTTTAGCCGCAGCATAACAGCTTATAGAATGACTCTGAGTTTTTTGTTTTTTTCAAGTACAAACTTTTAGCCCTTAGCTCCGTTATCTCTTAACCGATTTGATATATAATTACAGTTTGGAACTCAGGAGGTCAGAACCTTTCGACTGATGTATTTGACCACGCCCAAGGTCTCATAGATTAATTTACTATAATCCTGCCTAAAATAATTTCAGTTTGAGGGTAGGCTGTTAGAGATCGTAATGGGTAATAAAATTGGATCGGGTATACGGGTGCTCCACGCTTGTTATTGCTGGCGCGAAAAGTATAGCTAATAAAAAGTAAAATAAAAAGGTATCAGAGATTAATTTTCTCAAATTTTACCTAAAATGATTTCAAGTGCCGCGGCTATTGAAGATTTCCTCTTGTTTATTATATAGGCATCGAGTGAATAAAACACAATTATATTTTCAGTTATCAGTTTATAGTTGATTTTTAACATTTGTTCATTCATTGAGCTTTTATTGAATTATTTACACTGTGTTATAAGTTATCCTATCAAAACTATTCCACATATTAAACTCATTAATTATGTTTGAGTCATGAGAACTTTGACTTTAAATTTCCAGAAATACTGCGATATTACTCATTTACAAAGCGATCATTTATATGAATGAGAAATTAAACCTTATTTGTCTTACGAATAATCCACATGATGGTGTTATGTGGTTGAAATTATTACACATATACTGTATAGGTGCAACGTTCTTCCTTATTTTCCTTCCCCTGTAGACCTAAATTTCCTTCTTTTTGATAGTCGCTATTGAAGGATTATTTATACGAATACTTGTAGTAAATCCACATTTATATTTTTTCGTTTATATACATGCTGGATCTGAGTAAATATTTGCCAAACAGATACTACTGAAATGCTTGATAAAAGTGTCAATGGAATTTATGTGGGCTGACTTTATACTTGCTGGAACTGAAACTTACTTGTTTGACTTTTATTGATTTAAACATTTTATTACACAGCTACGATTTGCAACGCGCTCAAACAGACCACATGAACGAAAACATATAAATGTTTTGATAGATAAGAAAAACAATTGTGTTCAGAAATAACCATGCTATTTTAATCTTTTCTGTAATGAATATTTGATGTTGGAATAACCAAATTACTTTCTCTCTGCATTTTTATGTGTATTTTGAGATGTTTTGGAGAATCATGACTTCAGAAGTATAGTATATGTAATGCTGTTTTTCTCTCTAAGAAATGAACAGGTCAATAACGTAAGGAATACAAAATCTAGAGTTAAAACACTGTTTTTTAAAGTTTATCACAGTTCACTCAAATCATTCCATTCTTTTCAAATTACAAAAAAATATGCATATTGCTTTCCATTTTTTTTGTTTCATGAAATGAAATTATAATTCCGACAATCTTTGTCTTGAATGTAGCATGGAATGTCGAGGGCAATCAGCTGAAACAACTTCCATTTCAAACCCAAACTTCCAACCATCCTTCGTCTCTAACGGAAGTCCAACAATGAGGAGGGGAAATTCAGGTTTGTATTAATCTAGCATCCTCAAATGCTCTGCTGCTGACAAAGGAAGTGCTATAAGTTATACAAAATAGCATACACACGCATATATTGTATTTTTTATACCCACATATAACTCAAAAACGAATTAAGACAAAAAAAAAAAAAGGAATGGCGTTTAATTTTTTTCTCGTTTTAACTCCAACAAGTCCTGATTAGTTAAAACAAATTGTGCTCTAGAAATGCACACTGTTTATATTTCCAATTCATCATTTCAGTTTTTAGTCTTACTAAGAGAGTTTAACATATGTGCCTATAGGGATGATTTTATATCACTTATATAACTTCGGCCATAAGTTAGATTTTGATATTATATTTTGTTTGACTCATTAAAAAACTATTTACAAGGTCAAAATAATTAGTTTAGCATGCTAAGTGAGCTGCTTGATTCATAATTATACATACAATGACTCGAATTGACCAATTTTGAAGTTATTTAATACCTAATACCTACGGCCTTTAGACGAAATCTTTCAGGTATAACTTTTTTGTCTGATAATCAGGTGGTTAGGCGCTTGAGGGTCACAGATTCGAAACCCCGTCACCGAACGTGCTCGCCTTTGCAGTCGTGGAGGTGTTATAATGTGACGGTCAATCTCACTATTCGTTGGTAAAAGAGTAGCTCAAGAGTTAGCGGTGGGTGGTAATGACTAGCTACCTTCTCTCTAGTTTTTCACTGCTAAATTAGGGACGGCTAGCGAAGATAGCCCTCATGTAGCTTTGCGCGAAATCCAAAAACAAACAGAACTTATAATCAAGATATCGAAAGACTGTTCAATATATATTATAATTCGGGTTATACAACGGATTATCATTTACCACTCAATATAATTCTCAAGGATACACATGGTTGCAGGTGTATCTTTAAAAAGCAGATGCTGTGGAAGAGATGAAAAGTTCTTTTTGATCTTAATAACCCACCATATAGGCAAACATGATTTCTGAGTTAATAAAATTAATTAACAAATGGTATTTTTGATTAATTGGTATGCGGTGTCTTATTTTGTATCATAATTCGTGTAAAATATGTAAACCAAATACGACAAGAAATAAGTTTTCAATAAGGTGCTATCTTTCTCGTTTTACATGAAAATACATCTTAATTGCTAATTTCAGTCTTTTTTCCTCTGCACTAGTTGATGGTTCGATCTGCACGTCTAAATGCCTTATTAGGTTCTAATGACAAGACGTCAGAAGCATTACACGGTGAGATCTTGTCACCTGTAATAGGAAAAAAGAATTAATTAGAGTACAGCTTGTGAAACCTAATGTTCAACTGAACAAAAATGAAACCTCATTAAGGGCTACCGATGACAATTTCGTTGATTTTTTTTATCTTCAATTAGATGGCTGTAATAATAGAAGTGGAACTTTTAATATCCAAAGTTTGTGGTGTGTGAATTAAGTGTAATATTTTTTCTCGTGTCTAATAAAGATAACGACACTTGAAGTTGTGTAAGTAAAATGAGCTAATATATTAAATTGCGAAAGAATTTTTATCAAGTGCAAAGCTACAGCAAACAGAAATACTTTTGCTAATCAGTACAGGAGATGATGTGAATTATAATTTGAAGTTCGTCACTGAAGGTTCCTGGCTAGCAACCTAGATATGAGCTCATTGTTGAAAAGTTGGTTAAATGTTTCTGTTCCCGTGCATTTCATGTTTGTCTCATTAATTTCTTACGCTTGCTTTAAATGATGTACGACGCGTTTTAAATGTCAAACGATTGTCAGTAGGCCTATCGAACAGTGAAATTACAAAAATTAATGAATGATTTTTACCTGCAAATTACAGCCTAAAATGATATGTGCAGCTAACTAAATGTATAAAAAATGACAGTCGCTATTGAAATGGCTTTTAATTTGTTAAAAGTGAGACTCATTTGTTCATTCTCTCACTGATCTTAGTAAACTAAGTTAAAAGTACATTGACTTGTTGATACATTGTAACTCGAAGTTTAAAAGACCACTCATTTAATTTCAAACAGTTAGAGAGAAACAAAACTATAATCTGGGAAATTATTTCGTGTATATCATCTAAGGTAGATAAGCGTAAACCTTTTCAGGGCAGAAGAATGAAATATCATAAATAGATAGAAAAAAAGTTTTAAATGTGATGTGTTTACAAATATTTAGGGTATTAATATTATCTATAATATCAAAAAAATAAAATACTTTGTACCTTACATATTTACGTGAAAACTATTTTGAGGTAATTACGAGTATCCAATGGATTTCGAAAGATTGTGGACATGCACACAGATGTATATAAAGTTAGAAGAGTGATAACTCATAAATATATATATATATATATATACTTAGGGTTAAGCACAGTTTATAATAGTGTTTTTGTTTGTTTGGAATTATGCACAAAGCTACACAATGGGTTATCTGTGCTCTGTCCACCACGGGTGTCGAAACCCGATTTCTTGCGTTGTAAATACTCAGACATACCGCACTAATTCCACAGTTGTTCTAAGCTAATTTACTGTCCCGATTTAAAAACGTGTTAAGTGACAGCTGATGAGCTGTGTCTTTTGATCTTTTAGATGATTCAGTTTGTCTTATATATGAAGCTCCCCAAAACTTACGAGGTTCTTTTACATGAACTGATATGCTTTCTAAACTTTTACTGGGTTTAAGGCAAACTAAAACTTCAAATTTTCTACATTTTTTTCTGAATATTAAAGCTTATTTTTTGAATAAAGGGAATAGTAATTATGATCTATGATTCAATTTCTGTTTCTTATAAATTATTGGGCAGGCTTCTTTGAAGAAATATGTTGGATAACTGGTACTGGGTTTGATACATCTTAATCGATTTGTAAATGAATACTTATCAGAAAATCTTTTCAGCATTTGCTTTATTGCACAGAGAGCAAACTATCCATTATCATTTAATCACTTGAATGTGGTTGGACATGGAGCTAAGGTTAATGTATGCCGTCTTTCTGTAGATACGAGTGGTGAGGTTATAATAATGGCTTCAATCAAATATCAAGAAAATAGAGAGAGCAGTTTCTTTAAATGAACGGTGAACTTGAAATTTTTGCACCCGGAGCTCAAGTGTACAGGGAATTTCTCATTGGAGTCAGCATCAGATTGCTAGATCATGAAAGTATCATATACGTCACGTTTTAGTAATTTTGATAGTCTAGGAGCAGATTATAAGAAGAAAATTTCATAATTATTCATATATAGAAGTCACTAAGAATGGGAGAGATAGGAAATACATGACTAAACCTTAAACAAGCTAAAAACGAAATTTTTTAAATTGAAATTAGAAGTTCTTGGGGTAGAGAGTAACCAGATCCAAAATAACGTCAACGAATAACTTACTGCAAGGATTACTTCTATTGGTGTACATATCCCTAATATCAAAACTAATTAATTTATCGCTCGACTGTGTCCGTAAGATTCTTAAGTCAAGCACAAAGTCAAAGAGAATCCAAAAGATCCATTCCACTGGAATGCAGTACCTATACATAAATTGTTACAATGAAAAGATCAGGCCTGACGAAGACACATGCAAATGCAATAAGACCTAATTTAAGAACATGCTCACAAAATGTTGTTGGTCCATATTAACATCTCATAACACTTTCTCCACCTACTAATACCTCTTCCAAACAGCTCAATGGACTTTTGTGTCTTGATCCGCTTCAACACTATATTTGAAAGCAATGTCCACGCGCTCTGTAAGGTCTTTCAAATTGTATGGCAGGAGCTTATTACAGTGGAAATTACAATATTTGACAGTATTGCGTAATTTCGGTAATCAGAATGAGCATCACTGAATGATGTAGGAAGTAGTTTTATGAAGTGTGACTATTACTATATATAAAACATTAGAGCGCCAGCTATTATCACCATTTCATCTTCACAGCATCGATAAATGAAATCCAGTTTAAAGTAGAACACTAACATTTACATAAATTATGAGAAAATAAGAAGAATGGTGTTTACTGACCTTTAGTCATAGTTTGCTTTTCTCCTGTGTTCTGTGGATGATGATAAACTTTTGTTTCAGTAAAGTTTATACACAAATGCTTTGTATGTCTATTTTACATTTCATAGAATGTGTCCTATTGTTTGTTTTGTATCTTACATGTTAGATATATGAAAAGCTACATAGTTTGATGGCTGTGGCTATTGGAGGAAACGAGTCCCCAAATTTAGCAATATAAACCCTGAAGCTCACCAGAAGATAGAATGTTTCCTATGAAACAGATAAAAAATATTGTTTGAAATATTAAAACGTTTAAGTTAAATAAACAATTTAACAACGACTGGACGGTGTTTCAATGTTTATTTTTCCTCTCTTTCAACATAACATAACAGAATAAAATAAGGCAAGGATACTCATTGATCTTTGTTATCATTTTAAATACCATCTGACCCCAAATAAACAGAGGAAGGCAATAATACACATAATTGCATTAAATATTTGTGTTACGCTAGAATTTTATAAAATATATTGCCAATGCTAAAGACACGTTAACATTATTATACTTCAAAATATAGAACTTCCTGAGAAATGCCTGAGGTTGTTAAAGCATTTCTCGAAAAACTAGAAACTGAAACATCAACTTTTGTGTAAATAATACAATGTATCTTACTTTGAGCTAGTAGTATTGGTTTTCTCGGTTCAATAATCCTAAAAGAATTGTCATCCAACCGTAAAAATCCAGGTTACCATCTTGTTATAAAAGGGAAAAAACGCGCAATGTGGTTAAATATTTTACAAAACATCAGCTATATATGTGTACGTACTTGTGGGTTTTTTGTAAAATAAAAACTTTACTTAAAAATTAGGTGAGACAAATATACGAAAATGAGCTATTTGCTTCTGTATATACTGTCTTCTATATGTACCTGTATAAGATGTTTAATCAAATACTAAACTAACTGTTTTTGATTCGAGCAATTATAACAAGATTATTTTCATTGTTGATATGACGTAAATGGACTACTTCAATTTTTAGCTCCATCTTTAGCTTCGACCAACATAAGGGAGATTCTACGAAATCGGCTTTACACATTGGAATTGGCAGAAACAATGGCTGATCACCGAGCCGTGCACATTTGTACCTGCGTTAGTTTAAATGTGGGAGAAAGTTGTTCCAAAAAGGGTTTTATATGACACATGAAATAATATATATATCTATTTGAAGTGAAGTGTGTGTATATGAGTTTGAATATGTACTGATAAGTAGTATTATTGTATATTCCATTAGCATATTTATTAACATACTGGCATCAATTATATTTTAACATAATTACCTTTGATTGCCAGAACGTAAATCGTATTAACGAACAATATTTAACTACTATAATCAAACATATTAGAATTGATTAACAAAGGAATAACTACAGGCTCTCGGTTATTTGGAATACGAAACATAATTTCAGCTAGAAATAGTACGATGACGATACAAATATGAAGTGTACTAGTAAAATGTGTAAAATAAACTTCAAAATTACATTTATATGTAAATTAAAATACTTACTACTTATATGTATAATACATGCTTCACAATTTGGTACACTTTTTTATGAAGATGAACTAGTCTAATTCTGTAAATCAAATTGTTACATTGATACTGAATGATAAAATACAGAATAGTCACTCTTTATACGATAAGCAATGCAAATAAATAAGTCACGCGACAAAAACGAATAAAATATATGGTTGAGAAAATGGAAGTGACAGGAAAACTAATATGTTGTTAATAACGATTTTTTTTTCCAGGACGTATTGCACTGATGTTACTTTATGACCGTTTTAACTGTTAAAGAATACGAAATGTATTGCTTCCAAGGTTTGAACAAGTATATTTAATCATTCACGTCTCAAAATGATCTAATGTCATTTGTTCAATTACGATATCAGTAATCAATTTCAAACAAGCGCTTTGAATGTCACTTTAATTGCTCTGCAAGAGATCTAGTCAAATGTTAAGCGGTATAAGTATAGATGAAGCGCAGATTATTATTTTAAACATGTACTCTTTCTCTATTTTTCTATGAGTAAATAACTTTCTGAAATCTTAAATTAATTTTCTTTTCTTTTGAATACCTAAATAGCTTTAATAATTTTGTAACATTATGGAAAAAAATTATCTCGAACAATAAAAAATAATAAACAGGACATAGACAACTATTATTTGTTTTTCAAAAAGTTTGTTTTAAACATTGTTCTATTTTTTTATATTACTGCATGTTTGTTACTTGTTCATTTTCTCATAAAATCATGGGTTTACATACGTTGATTGGCCAGTTTATTAGGACCTCCACCTAGTATTAAGTTGAATCACTGATATTGTTGCCACATCATGCTCTTGAAAACAATATTTGACAACGTCACCGTTTTGGGATGTGTACTTCATTTTTTGGTGGGGTTGATCTGCAAATCCGTGCATGTATATCCTGCATGTTAATAGTCCTTTAAGACAATGAGCCTTTCCCAATTCCGAGACATTTCCATACTGTTACAACACCTTACAATGTAGGAACAGTACAAGTAGAGTCAATTGTGTTCTACGGTTTTCTTATTGTTTTCACAGCACAATCAGAACTGAAAACAAAATAAACTGATTCATCAGACCACCTTATACGTTTCCAATCATTCATTGTCAACAGTTTGCGCTCCAAGCATCACTAAACACATGCTTCCCTGTTCGATGTTTGAGATAAGGTGAAAAGACCAGACTTAGATTGTCATATGACATTTGTTTTTGTAAGGCTACTCTTATCGTATGCTTGAAAATAATTTAATCCTAATCATTTGTAATCTAATGACTCCATCGGGTCACAATCTGTTGTATTTAACAATCCTGTCGAGTCGTCTCTTCCACCTCGGTCAGTTAGAGGTAATTGCTAGCCACAATATTTTTCCAGTGGAAAACGTTTTTCCATGTTGACTAGTTTTCTTGATAGGGAAGTAGAGATTATCTTTAATAAAGACACTTTTTCTAAGCAAGCAACTACTATCATTGCTCTTGCTCATTGTCTTGCAGATTACCTAAATTATGCTTAATCTTCTGCTTTTATAGGGCCCAATCTATTTGATACATGATCATTCTCTTTTGTATGTGCATGTATTTGGATTGGTTTTGCATCTACGCAGGAGATGCGCGTCCTAATAAAGTGGCCAGTCAGTGTATGGTGGTGTTTTCTTTTCGTCTAAGGTAACAAGTTTTGACTTTAAGCACATATTAAACTAAGCTATTATATGTTTATTTCTAGACTTTTCTAGTGTTTGGCACTAAATTAATTATTAGTATGTTTACACGTAATCGCACTGAATGTCGCTCGTGCATGCTTTATTTTGCTTATGTTGTGCAGTGGTCAGTTTCAAGCGTGTCGACGATTCCAGACGGCGCCGGAGGACAATTACAGGTAAGGTTAATAAGAACTTCTGATTGAAATTAAGTTAACTATATAGATATGAAAGAAAAAAATGTGGATAAATTAATTAATACGTTCAATCCTATATAACAAACTGTCTAGAAATGATTAATAGCATACGTCAGTACATCAGAAAACTAAAACCTATAGACTACATTGTATTAGCTGTGTATTCACACTATTTATGTAATCTTATAAAACTAGTCACACTGTTACAAGCTTATATTTATAGTTCTCTCAGATTAGTACTCTTACTCCATCTTCGTATCATTTGTGTATTCAGAATACTGTTGTAGTTACAAAAAACAAAAACATTTTCATAATCTAAGTGTATTAAAAACATTTTCATAACCTAGAAGTGTATCAACAACATGAGACTTACAACTGCTTTAGTAACAAGTAAAACTTACATACCAACAATGTTCAAAAGATAATTGAGCATTTAGTGTAATGGGAATAAATAATCTGTACACAAATGAAACCAACTTCAAGAGACAAATGTTGCTTAACAATAAGACGTGTTACTGGAGATTATCTTTCATTAAGTTATAGGGAAAGAAATAGGACAAAACATGTTTTACCATGGCTAACATATCCTTGCTGAGATTTAGAACATTTTTTAGTTGCTGAGAAAGAACTGAATAATGATAAAACATGTTGCTGAGACATATTTTTACTTAGAAAAACAACAACATAATCTTACAGAAACTAAAAGCTGTAAGTGAAACATAATATAACACATCTAAAAATAAATGTATTCTAGTTGACCCAATACTTATTCTATCTGAGACTAAATGTATTCTACTTAAAATTGAACATATTCTAACTACTAAATAAGAGTAGACAAATTCTAGCTGAGAAAAACATTTATTATTGTTGAGATTTAAAATATTCTTACTGAGACAAAATATAATTTACTGAAACTAAATATACGGTAATAAAGGATATAACAAATCAAACAAACTGAATAAAAAAAGGATATTGTTAGTAAGACAAAACGTCTTCTCTTTGAGACTGAGCATATTCTTAATGAGACTAGACATATCTTTAATGAGACTTTACATTATTCCTAATGATGTTACTCACGTACGTAAAAGCTTTTTCGATGGTATTAACATCTAGGTGTACAAATTTGTTTTTTTAAATAATACCTTTGTATAAAGGTTTCAAACAGTTGCGTAATTTTAAACTCGTAGTCTGCATGCCCAGATTTAGTTAAGTAGGGTGTTGTTTCATCATGGAAGTTACGCGAATATAACGTGTCGTGCTTCAGATAAATGTCAATGATAACATCCTCAGTATTGCCAGCAACAACTATGAGAACTGTGAATTAAGTAATGGACTAAAATACTAAGAAAATGATGTAGGTTTTACTGTTGTTAAACATGCACCTAATTACCTTTTTACATTGGTATAAATATTAAATTAAAACATCATGTAATGTAATTTTACTAGTCGGAATCAATTAAAGACTCTCATTATAATGTGACGAAATAACAAAAGCTTGTCCTTAATGAACTTAAAACTTACAACTTTACTAGTACTAAATGTTATGATAAGGAAAAAGGGTTTGTTGAAACGAACTATGATTACAAAGAGAAGAACTTCAACAGGCTTAATGATGTTCACGTCTTCACTAAACTATGTAATGGTACCACTAAACTAAGGGTTAAGTAAAAATACGGTTGTTCACGAAAATTAACAATGTAGTCGATAAATTACTCCAGTCAAACCTTAATTCTCCGTCGCAGTAGGTGTGATCATTGGTGTG